CCTTCTTCATTAACTTCAGTTGATCGAAAATGTATCTCAGCAAATTTTCCTAACTGAGCATAAATTTTTTCTCTCAAATCATGTCGAATCCGAATTTCACTTTTGCAAATTACTTCTATAAGAGAAACTAAGGTGCGAAGTTGCGATTCTAGCTTAGAAATAGCTTCAAAGCTATAATATTTAAATGCGGATGAATCAGTTAACAACTCAATAGACTCAACTAACATTTCATCTGATATTTTCTTATCTCTAATGATTTTTTTCAAAGGATAAATATCATGAGTGCTTGACCATTTCCTAAATTGTTTAATAAGATTACGAGGTTTGAATTTCGATTCAGAGGCATCCTATTTGTATAAAAGAAAGATGTTCATTATTTAGACTGATGGGTTGCTAAATTTCTGGCCTAATTAGCGACATATAAAAGTAATTGAAAGCAAGTATATGGCCAGTTTGCAGGTTTTGACGAAACACGTCCCTTTTTTGATAAGACTATTAGTAATATAATATTGGTATAAACTCCAAAGATATCGCATCTTGTTTAACGAATAAAATTTACTAAAAATTGTTTATTAGGTCATAAAAAGGTAATTTTTTGGTTCTCATAACATGAAATTTTAAAAATGACCGGCAATTCGGCTTTTATTTTATTTTATTTTTTTTTGAAGTTTTGCAAATTTCACCTGCCGGCTTATGAAACCAATTTGTATGGCCTTATCTAACAAAAAACTAATCACGCATATTCTTTCAATTATGAATTTGTTTATTATACATCGCTGACCAGGTTTTTTGTAAAATAAATTTGATAAAATAAATCATAATAACCTCAAAATTAAGACAATTGTCCATCTTGTTAAAAAGGTTCTTAAAAAATCTATGTTGAAGTTAGAATAGGAATTATAAATATACAAGTTTCAAGATACGTTGTACACATTTTAGGAAATAGTATATAAAGTTTTGTAATGTTTTTATTAAAAAATTTAGTCACGAAGCAAAAGTTACGTTACATTGACTCCGATCTCCGGGTTCAATAATTAATGTAAAAATACGGCAGAGGAATTCAGTTTTGTTTAACATCACGTACATCAATGTTTTTTGACAAATAAAAATCGTATGGTTTTCTTCGTTTTTTATATGTCCAATGATTTTTTTTTGATTTTATTGAATTAATGTATCGGACGTTACCTGTTACACTTGGCTGTGCATATGGTACGTATGTAAATCAAAACACTCATATTTCCCTAGTTCAATTAGATGTACAACCTTGACAAATAATTTTGAAGCGAGACTTTGAGGACGTCAACATTTAAGTTCAAAGAACAAAGCTATAGAGCTAAATTTAGATCTATTCAAAATAATTTACTTGTTAATTTAACTAATCCTCACAAATCAAGTAATAAAATGGAATTAAGATAGTTAAGAGGAAACAATTTTTTTCCATATATACAATGTAAAAAACGGTTCTATAACTTTATTTTCGTAATGAATGAAAATCGGTTGCATTAAAAATTTCGATTAATGCATCTATATATATTACGTACTACTATGCTTATGTACGTACGTACGTACAGTGGCCTCCGAAAGTATAAAATAGTTACACAAAAAAACATAACATAAATTCATGCAAATGCATA